AGACAAACGTTGTTAGAGATTTTTGGAATTCAACGTATTAAGAAAGAAGAGAATATATGCATGAAAAGAAATTGATTTATCGATTCTGATTATTTGTCAAAATGAATCTTACGTACTTATTTTTACTTAACAAGTATTGATGGAATTATAACGTTTAAAAGGTTAAACAATACCATTGTAACCGATTCTCACATCTATATTCAAACGCAAAAGAGAGAGAGAGAAAGAGAGAAACAACGGATTTAATTCGTTCATTGATCCGTCACGCGACGGAGGTAAGAGAGAGAAAAAAGGCGGAAGGTCAAAGACTACCCGTTACTCGCCTGCTAAATATTAATCCGGCCGTGTAGTGGAGGAAGAAATTAAAATATAATCGAAAGAGAAAAGTAACAATTGTCGGATATATACACGGAAGAATACACGGTTTAATTATTAAATAATTCCCGAGAGAAATTAAAAACGGGTCCCATCCCAGACGTGTCGATACGAAACTTCCATACGATCAAGGCGCCATATATCTCTACGCGCGGACCCTTTTAATTAAAGAGAAAGTACCGTGTCGTTGAATTATCGCGGCCAGAAAAGGAAAGAAAAAAAAAGAAAAGAAAAGAAAGAGATAAAGAAAAATCGCGATATATACACTTGCTGTAAAAACGCTCAACGTGTGTGTGTCTGCTTCGTTATTTTCCAGGAGCCGCAGCCGCATCCAGGGTGTACGTGGACGCATTGTCTCGATTAGCACGCCAGGCGCAACTGGGTACATGGGGTGGTTCCAAGGATGTCGGTAAGTTTCCCAATCTTCTTATTATCCTCGTGCCTCGAAACTTCTTCCCGTTCCTCTGTCGACGCGTCCCAACGGAGATAGGAATTACGTGGAATCCCCCGCAACAGAACGATAATCGCATATACCGGGTGTGTCCAGTAATTCCTCCTCGACCTTTCATTGAAAAAGTATCGTATAAACTCTCTTATATACCGTCTCTTCCTTAGATCGGGCACGATCTTTTAAAAATTTTGGAAATAAATATTAACCCAATCGCATCAAATGACTAGCCTGGTGGTGGTGTTTCCACCACACATTCACACTAGCTGATATGTATTTGTGAGTTCAATCTCTTAGTATTATGCATGCAAAGTTTTAAAATCTATTTTTTAAAAACTTCCTATTTGTAATTGATATTTAAATATGATGTCATTGGGTTAAAATTATTCTTTTCGTTTGTTGTGCGATCCTTAAAGAAATGATCGTCATTGAATCGCATTGATATATGTGTCCGTATATACTCTCCTTTGTCCCCCCCCTCCCCTCCCCTCCCTCCCCCTCCGTGGTTCCCGATAATTACGATGAATTAATTAAAATTTGTCACGTAATTATGGACGAATGAGCGGGAGGCACGGTCGATTCTTAAACGACAGCTGCGTCGACGAAGGTTAATTAATTAGCGTTCCACGCATCATTAGACGGGCAAATAAATCGTTGGATCGTTGGCGCAGCTGTTGGCTGGTTGGAAAATTTGTTTGTTGTCCCCGCGATCGTTACGTTTTGTTCCATATATACGCTTTCCCGTTATACGTTGAATTTAGACCCGTAGTTTTACACGTAGTGAATCCTCCCCCTCTCCCTTCTTTCTCCCCCCCCCACACACACACACACGTATCCCACGACTTTGTCTTCGTTTCGATGCGCCTCTTAATTACCAGATTGCCCGCGTTCCATGATAATTATTTCAATTACGTCGACGCAGCCGAGGATATTTATAGGAAATTAATAGAGAACCGGCTCTCGCAATTAAAATCGGCCGATTCATGTACCACCGGCGCTGCGTTTTTTAATTGTTTTTCCCCGTGATTTTAATGGGCAGCGAACACGCACGCCCGACTCGTATCAACGGTATCCGGTTAATAAGGATTTTAATTCGTATTGATTCGTCGCTTGTTCCCCGACTCGATTGTAAACGGAATGAAATGGAAAACGATTTCAACGGATGTAACGAGTCAACTTTTATAGGTTATGCTTCTTACGTGTTCGACAGACAAGGTTCGAAATGTCTATTAATTTTTCACGATATTTCTGACGAAACGATGAAATCATGCAATCAGCGATTACACAGTGAAATAATCACGATACGAAATAATATATATATATATATATTATTTTGAGTTGTGTCTAGAGAAGAATTTTTTTAATTTTAACAGTGACAGAGTAGAAAACAGAGAGTGTAATTCACACGAATGCCAATATTTTTTCTTTTTTTTTGGCGAAATAAATCTAACGAAATCTAAAGAAAGAACGTAGTTCTTTTAAGCTTGATTAAGGGAAAGGGACTCGGTGTCTTGCGTTACAATGGCTCTAAACTTGTAATTTCAACCTGTTATTATTATTATTATTATTATTATTATTATTATTACCTTCGATATGATAATCCTACCGCACGGTTGATGAAACAATTCACAGCGTATCACCAGCGTGTTTAAATTAACGTCCAATATACATAACAAGGAATACATTATAATATAGTTGTGAAGTAATTGCATCATAATGGAATAATCACTCCGCGGAACACAATCGATGTTTCGACATCGTTACACGGATCAACGTGGTAATTTTACGAATACCGTTATTATTAAAATTTAGCGAGCGATAGGCGTGAAACTGTCCTACCTCGATAATATTCGACAGAAATTCAATGCCTCGACGATAATCGAAAATTTCGTTTTCATTTTATCCTCTCTTTATGGAAAATGAACTCTCAAGTCGATGCTCATCCCTACGACTTCTCATTTCCCTGTTTCTACTTTCTACTTTCTCACGATTCGATTTTACTGAATTTTTTTACCGTGTACCGTTTCTCATTTCTGCCGCGATTATCCTTAGCCTTCGTCAGCACTGCGATTCTCGACACGGGAAATTAGGGACAACGATACAAATCGATAGAAACAGCCCCAGTTAGAGAGGGTCTCGGTTTCGAGAAACGATATTATCATCAGCCTTGGACGAAATTCGGCCTGTCAGCGCGAGAAACGTCGGCCGAGCACTTTCGTGGTTTCCAAAGCCAATAAAGGCCCGCTCTGTTTAACCGTCTGTCCGTCTCTCTCTCTCTCTCTCTCTCTCTCCGCCTCTTATGGTAAGAATAGGGCTGGGAAGAGGGGAGGGGAGGTGGAAAAAAGTTGCTAACAGGATCATTGCAGCGTGATAAGTGTACGTATTAAGGGCTGGGTCGATAACCCCTTCCTTGGCCTGGCTGGCCAAGCCTCGAGACGAAGGCAACAGTCTTAGGAAGCTGCCCAAGTGCGACGGAAGAGTTTTTATTTGTTTTTCACCCGGGAATCCTATTCGATCTCGAAACGAATTGCCCGTTTGTTCCTCCTTTCGTATTTTCCTCGCGACGATGGCCAGATACCTAGTTGAATAGTTATCTCTTCGTACGAAGAATCGGGAATAAAAATTTTTATTTTGCCCGCATCCCAACTTTTGAATCGAGATCGTAAAAAGTGATATTTGTATTGCCGTGTAAAAGTTATTCGAGGGGAAAAATTCGTTTCACTCGGTATATTTTATATATATATTGTTTTGATAAAAAAGAAAGAAAAAGCAACATTCACAAGGAAGTCGCAAAGGAATTAATTAATAAATTGATAATTTTGAGATCTATTCAAAAAGTAGAGAAAACTATTCCATCGAAGTCACTTTTTCATTCGTCTCGATATCGATTCTTCGCCGAGATGCGAAGAGTCAAAGCGATAACAATAATCGATTTTTAAATCGATGTATTATTATTTTGTTTCCAAGCCCATACAACGAGTCATTTCGTAGAAATTATGTGACAATTAAAATCACTTTACGAAGAGAAATATAGGAACCATCCGATCCAATCATTTAAAGTTCCAACACTTTGGTACAACAAATACAGATCTCAGATGCCTCGGTGTGTATCTGTGCACACTGTGATATTAATTAACGCGTATAGATGTATTGTGATGCAATTACAAGGATATTATATCCACACCAACTTCTAACAAGGCAAACTTCGGTATCGATAGACAATATTGCCGATATCCATCATTCATCTCGCGGAGAAAATTCGAATTGTCGTATTTTTGTCGCGTTTCTGAAGAAAAAAAGAAGAAAAGGAATCGCGTCTGAAAAAAATTCTTCCGACCAGCACCAAGTCGTTTATACTCGAACGTAGTAATTAAAGGAAAGGATTTCACGGTCGCTGTTACGAAAGATAATACAAAACGAGTTCTCGAACACGCCTACGTTGTATCATCCTCGTGGATAGTGGCCGAAGTTAACTGCAATCGGTGGTTGGGTAGAATATCCGAGCCTTGGATACAACCCCTGTTAACTGCATACGAGAAGCCCTCGGGCGGCTTCCAATTTAAACTCTGCCCTGTATGTGCTACCTCGAAATAGGGTTACCGTATTATTATTTGTCCTTCCAACTGACCACGAATAAGAGAAAAGCGTATAAATTATTGCTCTATCAGGCTTCGTTCCAAGTACGCCGGTCTTCTTTTAATTAAAGTTGATTGCGTGTATAATTCTTGGAAAAAGAAAGAGAAAAAAAAAAAAGAAAGAAAATTATTTTCGCATCGTTTAATATACAAAATCGATAGAAAATATTTATCTAATTAAATTAATGTACTTGGAAATTATATTTCTCTCTGTATCTTAGGCAATGATTATTTTTTAATTTTATTGCTACGTTTCGTATCTCGATATTATAGAATCGAACAATAGAAATTCTATGTAATTTATCCCATCGATGTGTTCTCATTGATGTACTCGCGCCATCTTCGTCTAGAATAGAATTTTTACACTTGGAAAACAATAAAATTATCACGACGATTCAATTTTGCTTGGATCACGGTGTGCATCGCGAAACGTTTGAAACGGAGGGATAGGGAATGGAATTCGTGGAGAATTGATCGGTATCGGGGAAGTGTCGCGTTTGGGAGACACTTTCGGAATTTCTTACAACAATCGATGGAGGTGGCAGGATGGAATATCTTATTACCTCCATTCGGACGTTTGGCAGTTCTCCAGTGTACGCCAATTTGCACTCGTTAAAGAGATGCCTTCGAAACTTTTCGGCCAATGTTGACTAAACGTTTTCTCCCTTCTTTACAAAACTCGATTTTCATTAGAACGTGCCTAACTCCGTGCCAGGATACTGCACGTCTTATCCCCCACCTTCCTTTAAATTAAATTCTCCACGAATTTAAACCGCGAACTTTTCTTCGATCTCATCTCAACGAATATGATTTTTACTATTCGCGAAAAATCTCATATCTTCGTCGTTTCATGCCTTTGTGCTTTCTGAAGAAAAGAAACGAGGAATTAAAAATTCGAGTCGAAACGAAACGAGACGAGAATGAAATTGAGCGAAATGCCGATTGCTTTCGGGAATTGATTAGTCGAACGTTATTGCGAAACATTCTCAAAGAGGTCGTTTCAGGTTGCATCGACAGTTTACCAAGGCGTTTGTTGAATGGGGCAGGGATTTCCTTTGCGTTTCCTGCGACGAACCTTTCAAACTTGCTCAAACCGAGGAATCCGGCGACTCAAGTTTAAATCGACGACGGACTTTTGTCAACTGCGAAACGACACACGGCCGGCGGAGAGACAAACTCGTTCAATTTAGACGCGAGATCCTCCCGTTTCCTGCCTCGTCGAAAACTAATTAAACTTTTTAATTATTCGAACGAGGATCCGGGGGAGGGAAAGATTGTTGTTCCACGCGACGAATCCGTCTTCTTTTATCCCTTTTGTAATAAAAT